TTGTTGTAACATGCCATTCATTAGTGTTCCTTGAGTACGGCTACGAACCTGTTAATGCCAGCAAATGTATTAGCAAGGTGCTAGTTAGTGTACTTGATGCAACGTATGTGGTGACTACTTACTTTACCTGGTAGTGGTAACTTGCTTCTGAAATGTATATAAAAGTTCTATATAGATTTTACAGTTGATTTTGTTCTCAGGTTCTTGCGTGCCACCGATATTCATAGTTCGGTGCATGTGGTGCCACGCAAGTTTGCTTTAAAAATTGTGTTGACGAATGCGCGTAGTTTGTATTGCAGGTAATTATTTGACGTCACTTCATCCAGCGTGGAATCTACTCCTGACTTGTTGCTACATTTGCAACAAGTCAGAGGCAGATAACCATGGCTGTAATTACATTTCATTATAGTTGCAACTAGAGCGCTGCTGCTGATGATGTCTATTTTTCGGTCTTATTGGTTCAGTTGAACCTTACAATTGTCGAACAAATTGATTGCAGTAGGCGGGTTCTCTGCTGTCGTGTTTACCGACTTCATCCCGCGTCTGTTCAAACGTCAGCTCAGAAACGACGACGACATGCATGAGACTTGAAATAAATCCAGCGCCTTCTGCACAACGTAGCTTAGAATTGCTGTGAGAAATCATTGACATTATTTTTTAATTCACTCGTGTTTTTGTTGTAGTGATGATGAAAAAATCATAACTAACGTGTACTTTAATAGGTAAATCTCAAAACGAGGTGATTTTTTCTCCTTGTTTTGAAGTTTCAAGGTAGACTGGGGACTTCTAGAAAGCATTCTCCATTCTACACTTTTCTACTCTCGATTAGTTGACTAAGTTTTTCCAGTGCGAATTTCTTGCCAATTTGCTACACGCTTGATCTTCAGAAAATTTTTTCGGTTGATGCTTGAAAACAATATTCGCGTGGTCATTCTGGGCGCGTCACGTGCCTGAGCAGCTTTTGGAAGTGACTCAATTAAGATACCAACTTTGTGCTTAAGTACTAACTTGATGGTCCCTTGAGATGAATCTTCAATGATAGTAAATGCATATTTATTACGAAGATCATATGACGTTGTTTAGTTTGCTCTGCCTTTATGGTGGTTTTTGATAGAGGAGTTTTTGTGTTTCCACAGCGCTGCGACAAATAATATCTGCATATGATTATAAGTGCAAACAAATTGAATCTTCCATTCATAGTCTCGTTCACTAGTCTAGTCTGTCGCTTAACGATATGAATGAAATTAATCCAATGTTAATTATTTCTTTATGAACTGAAAGAATAATTGTCGGAATTACCATATTTGAATGTGGTAATCGATGTCGGCGGTAACCTGGAGATACTGTATCTTCATGCCATTCATTTCGTTATCAGTAACAGACGTTCGATTACCATGTTTCATGGTGTTATCAGGACTCTTCTGATAAAACTTAACTGTGTTGGGTCTCACATGCTGCTCTCATCAGTGGTGTTGCGGTTCGTTCGAGGCTATATCAGCTATTGTAATCATCGTGTGTGCTGTGGTGGATACAATTAAATTCAACAGTTCGGTGCAACGGATTCGAGATGACTGCAGGTGGACTCATGATTCGGACCACACGCACCCTGAACTTGTTGCTTTTGACTTTCTGTTCCATGCGAGTGACATTTATTCCTTTGGGATTTGAGTGCGCCCGTGAATGATGTGATTATGTTATTAACGTCAGGAGGAAGGTTATATGTGCTAAATTGGGGCTGTATTTAGCATGAATAAACCATGAGGTTTGAATATCGGATTCTCGTACGATCACCGAAGCAACAATTGCTCATTCAGAGCTCAAATGCGGGCTGTCTGCAAATCTCCGTCGTACGCTTAATGATGACTTTAAATGTGATAAATTTTTGCCACACCACTCGGCCGTAATGATACCACTCAATTTAAACGCACTGCTCAATCCTAATCATACAACTACTCTACCGCACACCACTCGTTCGTTCACTTAGTTGTCATATGCCTCGTTCAAGCCATATATTTACAGATTTAATACTTTTTAACTTTCCAATTTAACCGTACCGCTAATTTTAAATCATACCACTAATTATTTGCCTGCCACTTATACCGAACCTATTTATTCATATTTGTCGTCACCACCAATACCAGTTATTCAAAAAACACCAGTCATTCACTAATGCCACAAGAGACTTGTCTGCAGGGCAGTCCGGCTATCGAGTTATCGGTACGGTGCAATTTTAATACCCGCCCTGAGCAAAACAATTGGCCGTCAAAACAATTGGCCCTTTCACTGCCAGTCACGCAGACTCCACAGAGGACTTGAGCGGATTTTAACGGTTCAGAGGCCGTACATCAAGCTTTTCTAAAATACACGTAGCGGTCTAAGTATACGTATCGTCTGCTATAGGTTGCTTTAGTTTGAAATGACGCTAATTATTGATTGATGGAGTTACAAATATAAATTAGATATAGGGGCCGTAATATATACTTAATATTACGGCCCCAGGTCTCCATGAAATTTTTCATAATGAGTTGCACTTGAATTTCGACGCATGCCAAATAATTTTAACCACCGTTCTGTCGTGAAAACTGTGCGGTGTGACTTGAATCTATTTGTTACCATTGACTTTTTTCGGGTGACTCTATCTTTTCATTTTAAGTCCTTTTTTAAATTACTTCAATATTCCAATGTGAACGAGTTTAGTTGGGGAATCTAGTGAATATTTATCTGCCTCAGTGACTTGATAGATCCTGTGCAAATGGCGCAAGCTTTCTTCGTTATCAAAAGTGGATGCTGATAAGGCAATGGTATCGCTCTCGCTGTTGCAAGTAAAAGATGAAAGTTCGAAGAGGACAACTGACTCATCACTAAAAGCTGTGCTTATTCTGAAGCCCTCATTTTCAACATTGATAGCGGAAAATTAGTACAAATCATTGCTCACTCTCACTGGCGACCATTGCATCACTGCGTCACATTCCTCATAGCGCACACTCAGCAGTTTCCGACTTGTGTCCAATTAAAGACCGCGATAACCCTTATCGTGTACAATTGTCATTTGTGTTGACAAATATTTGCTAAACAAAGAATTTTTTTGTGTCATGTGAGGAATTACCACTCTATTGGGATTACGGAGAAAAGTTTCTCTAAACTATAATCTATTTCATTTTTAAAAAGTTAAGATTTCGGTGAGTCTTTGAAATTTTTAATCAAGCTGAAACTATGGTTTCAGGAGCCTTATTGGATTACATGTGAATGATTATAATATAATAATAATATAGCGGTTTCAGCGTTTATTAGACCGTTAGCCTGTCGCCGATTCTTGACATCACAGAACATCCACTGCTTGTTGCGGTCTCGAACTCACAACTCACTGCTCTAATTCTGTTGTGCTTAACCGCCCGGCCTCCTCGCCGATTCTGAACAGAAACTGTCGCACAGAGCTGGGATCGAACCCACACCACTCTGCTCCAATCACGGTATACTCTGAACTGTCACCACTGGGCCACCCCAAAAAAAACGAACGACATATAAAAAGTTCAGAGTGAGCTACCAGAGAACGTGTTGTCCTATCGTTTCGTGGAGTGCGTGATAAATCTTCGAATAGTTTCCAATCCTTACCTTTGAATGCAACTGTCTACTCACAATTAAAGAGTATTTCTTTGGACCAATTCATGCCTACCATACACAATTCGAAGCGGTGATTATCCTGGCAGCAAACTCGACGGCCACGCTTCTAGAGCTTGCGAAGATTTTTGGCACGCCAAAACAGAGTAAAGTTTTGCCAGAAATTGTTAGAGTTTCAGCCGAGGTATCCGTGATACCGGTGCCGGTCAGCATACAGTAGAGTGTAGACCGTGTTGGGCCGGGCGCCGTGTTGGGCAGGCGGTGACTCGGCACAATCCTGAAATCCCGCGGTGCGCAGCGACTTCCATAAATGGCCAGTATCGCGCAGTTCATTTATTTGATTCGCGAGTAATTCTGCGATTTTGTTTCTTATTGTAGGACGACATTTGTTTACGTACGATCATTTGTCATTTTGAGCAGTTCTAAGGTATTGAAGTTGATTATGTGTGGTTGATTTTAGTTATTCTTTGGCGTTCGAAATAGGGTTTCGATAAAAATTTTCCTGACTTTCGAAATGAGGTTTCGATAAAAAATTTCCTGACGTTCAAAATAAGGTTTCGATTAAAAAATTTCAGTGGCCATCGAAATAAGGTTTCGATAAAAATTCAGTGTCATAAGATTACCTTTTTTATGTGCCATTCAAGGGCGTATGTTACTCGCATATTTCTGTTAAAGGTCCGTAATTGTCCTTCCCCTCCTCAAAAAAATGCCGCTTTGATAATTGAAAATAAATTGGGTCAAACTGGACCTATCACAACTGTCAATCTGTGATCCCTCTTTAGATAAGTTAACTTTGCATCGGACAAAAATCCGCATTGTTTTGGTATAAAGCATTTTGTTGGACTTTAGCCTCGACATTTGTAAAACGATCTGATAGCGATGCTCAAAAATAAAGCTTGGATTTATCAGCTTCCACAATCTCCTGATGAGCGATATATTGGTTTGCGAGCTTCTATGTGTGCTGTTTCACACTGAGCAGAATAGTTCACTTTTTCTTTTATGAAATACACAAAAACTCAATTTAGAAATTGATTTATTATTATTTTTTTATATGATCAAAAGATTCCAAAATTTCGAGTAAAAGTTTTACCATAAGTTAGTAGTCATGCACATTCGCGTTGGTGATGTTGCTAGCTTGTGCCTGTGCGTTGCGGCATGAGTTTACATTCAGCGCCACAGGATGTTTAACAGCGCTGCTAGAATATATATATACGAACGTATGTGCATCTCTGTGTATATGCTCGACGACACGCTCCTGCTCACTGTTTCCGGACGTTCTCGCGATATGATAGAGTTTTGAGGTATGGCATTGTACGTGTGTAATATAATTTGTTCATTTGTTTGGTTTCAATGATTTTACCTCGTTATTTTTGATTGAGCAGAAATGGAGATATCGATGTATCATTTGTGTTCAAATTCTGAGCATCAAATTTCCACCTGATGGCTGATCAATGTGTTGAAAACGGAAATGTGTTGAGAATTTTTTAAAGTGCAACATATTTATAGTTTGTTTCTGCATTCGAGACAGAAATGCAAGATAGCTCCTTTAATTATCTGTTATTTTTTATTTGCCTGAAAAGTTGGAGCAGCTTTCAAAGCTCAAGTCTGAATTTTTCGTTTGCTGATTAAATGAACTGTTTTTCCTCTTGCGCTAAGATGACGTTCCCTGTGGACGCCAGCGAGCAGAGAAGAGCAAATAAAAGGTGTACGCATCCTCTTATTCTCGTACTGCTGCTCCTACTATGCAGTGTAGCCGTGGTCAGCTCACGGTACAAACAAAGGGTATCCAGGGTTCATGATAATCTTGTGACTGAATCTGATAACATCTTGCATGGTGTTGTTTTGAACCAACGTGCCAGTACGTCCAAAGAAGCGGTTTCTCTTCGTCGACATGTTTTAGGTACTACCAAAGAACTAGAAGATTTTGATATTGCTCCGTCAGATAGAGAAGCAAGATTGCGCTCCAAGGAGTTAATGGTTGCAATTCCTACGAGTGGTAACCTAAGTGCACAATCAACATTTAGAAAAGAAAGTAGCGAAGACACGAAGCTTTTACACCGTTGGGAGGATGGAAGGGGTGCGTACTCTGAACATAATAGTGCCAGCAATTTTAGAGATAACTTAATTTATCACGGCTTGCCAGCTCCACCTGGCGCTGCTGTCGTATTGTCACCCAGTACTCGTCCAGCTTCTTCGCAAAGAACGAAAATCCTGCAAATTAGAGAGTTGGATGTACGAAAACAGCAAAGTAATAACCACAATATTTCTGAGTCGAGATCCAAATTTTCATCTACTCATTCGTTCGATAACTTTGAAGAAGAGAAATTTACCAGTGACTCCGATAGCATAGGCGAAGAGGATGAAAATTGGGACAGCCTACTCACTGGAGGACAGGAGATCGTTGTTTCAGAGTCCATTCCAATTAAAGGTAAATCTTCTTTTTCGATTATTCTTCCCATGTAAATGAATCAAATCAAGGTTCAGTGATTAGGGTAACAATGTAATCACACTACACATCGACTGCTCTCTTGCTTGGAAAAAATTAATCCTAGCTGAACGGACTTCTTAAACTATTATGTATCGTGATTATAAACCAAACATTTAGAGAAATTATTTGACATCGTGAAGTTCTATTTATTGTTCTCTTTTCAATAACATGAATAACACACGTGTGAAATGTTGGCTAGACTGAAGACAACGCTTTCCATATCCGTCAGGTCGTAAGCTGCTCTGGTCTCAGGGACCCTCGGAGCGAAAGCGTTCCCGTCGCTCATCAAGTAGCCAGACCTCCTCCTCAGGTATGTCGGATCTCCGTGCTTATATTTGCTCTATAACTAACGGGAGAGTTTATATCTTTGTCTACTGACCGTAACTTGACGTACCAAGCCTGTATATAAAATAATATTACAGATGGTTAATAACATTTAAAAAAATTGAAACACTTAGGCTACTAAGGTTAAATCTAAAGATACCAGGCCACTAGATATAGTAATGGCATTGACAACGATTAATTTAACTGTAGACAATTTTCATGTTCAGTAAAAATTATTGAACACGTTTACCTAGACGTACATTAGTCCACCAAACAGTTGCTCAAAATTTGATAGCAGCGACAAATGATTTTCTCCGAATTATCCCGAATCTCCTGTAAATTTGCAACGCATTATAACCTACTTAGTTTGTTGACCCCCAAGGGTATCCACAATGTTTACTGTGTATCGATGACCGGCTCTGACGATACACTGATAAAGGTCACGATTGTAATGCCTATTGATTTTTCCAAGATTAGCTAGAAAATCCGTCGGGCGAACGCAGGTCATGGGCACCAAAAGTGCTACATAGGTGTTTGACCCCCAAGGGTATCCACAATGTTTACTGTGTATCGATGACCGGCTCTGACGATACACTGATAAAGGTCACGATTGTAATGCCTATTGATTTCCAAGATTAGCTAGAAAATCCGTCGGGCGAACGCAGATCATGGGCACCAAAACTGCTTCATGGGTGTTGCCGATCGCTCCGTAGTGATTTTCGCCTATTTGTGAGTTTCATTAAAAATTATTTGCCCATATGGGATTACAATACCAGACTCTCGTACGAATAGAAGTTTTTGAAATTGGAATATTCACTGGATAGTACAGTTTGTCACTGTGTAGAGGAGTCGGTGACCCACTCCCGAATCCGTGGTAGTGCATGGTGTGGATTCAAGATACTTCAATTGAATGCAATTTTTCTTGACCAGCCAGTAAGTCTTATTAACAAATTCTTTGATATTTTTCTTAATTAGGCGAATTTCACTTTTTGCGGACTTAATTTTTTAATGAGTTTAATGAGGATTGCAAGAAGCATTTAATATTCTTTCTGAGTTTTGAATAAGCATTATTCAATATCTAGTATTGAATGTTTTTAACTCTTGAAATTGAGATTTTGGAATGGCATAAGGTATTATATGTACACAACTCGAAACCAAAGCTTTAAATTAATCGAAAATAGTTTCAATCTCATAAAAAACAGTGGTTTGTAAATGGATAGCTTGAGACTCAATCTTCATGATGAGGCTATCTCTTCAGCTATGGCCAGTCTGGTAGCGTCGGGGCACCGCATGACGATGCCAGCGCAAGCTTACAGCGCAGCGCTAGTGACAAGTGACAATAACTATCCCAAACCGCCGCCTCCTTTGCTACCTTTAGTCCAGAGTACCAATGAACCATATGAGGAAGGCTCGCTCAGCGAGTCCATCACTGAAAGCTCGCACCAGCATCGTCATGCAATACATCGACGCTAAATGACATGTTACGGCTCCAGCTCTTAACAATTCCAGGCTCCAGCTATCAACTTATAAACCTTCGGTTTCTTCAGGACTTCGAAATTATTTTAGGGCATGTTTAGGTACAGGTGTTGAGTTTTATTCAGAATAACAATGTTTATACTTTATAATTACAAAATCTAAATGTTAGGCTTTGCGAAAAAACTTCACTGTGGTTGATAATAAATGTATATTCGAAACTTCGTAAAATTATGTTTAAATGGACCTATGAAACCTCAACATTTTCAACCAATTTTGAAATTCCACTAAAAGTCTAATTCTACTAATTGAGAAAACAGCGAGAAAGTTGTTAATAAGAGATACTCTCTTGTCTTCAACACCACCTGCATTGCAGAACAACTTCTGCCTAACTATACTAAGATTGATTTATTCCGGTACAAAACGAGCATTTATATGATCATGTTTGTCCATCGAGCCAGCGTGGGCTTTTTTCTGATAAATCTCTTGTGCCTTTATAATTTTCCTCTAAATATTTGAATAATATTCAAATACCCCAATATGACAGGTATACTGTTGATACGTAATCGAATAGCAAATATGTGTTAGCGGTACTTTAGGTTGCAGACAATCTCACAACGTTGCTAAAATATTGATTGGGCATCACGTATCGTGAGAGTGTAAGGTTTTTAAACAAGGTTTCTGCTCCAGACTGCGTGTTTCTTCATTTAATATTCACTTGTCAGTGAAATTGAAGAATCTTTAATTGAATTGTACCGAGTTAAATTAATGTTGATTATTACTTTCATGTAACGGACTTTCAGTGTATTGGTACTCTTTGCATAACTCCTTCATTACGTTTAAAGGTCTTTCTTACACCCGCGCAAACTTGGACAGAAATAACCTTGACACTTTACCTCTGTGGGTACACATGTAAATCTGCTAATTTCAGATAACAATTTACTTATGTTAGTTTCTGCCTCCCTCTTACCCGAGTTATTCGTAGCTTTATTCACAGGTATCTATAGATTATTTTCACCGTTTCATGCTTGTTATTTAATATGGATTGTACTCGTTGAAAAACTTTAACAAGGTTGCACTTTATTCATGCACGGACGCCTTGAAAAGAAAACATTTGGCCCTAAATCGATGAGGCCTCCAGAAGATCAATGCTGTCGGTGAAAGATGTAGCGATTGCGATGCCAGTGTTTGCATACATACGTTGGTACAAGCTACCTACAACCTTGCACATTATACGTAGTCTGTTTCAAGCTACACGAGCCTCTCGCTCGATGGCGTTCGATATATCGTCCTTGAATACAATTATTTTTTAGTTGTGAATGGCTTGTTCTATACAGCTGTGAGGCAGGCTTCACGCCTGCATGTCCTTCAGCATGTTTGATGACTTAGGGTTGACAATGCTGGATGATGGACTTACTTAATTCCGACCTACTCTGACGCATCCAGCAGTTCCTTACTTATTTTCCCGCATCGTATTCCCCAAATTTATCTCTTTATTCCTGTCCTCCTCGTGACCTAACTTTTATGGCGCTTCTCGGCCCATCGGCGCGCCAAATATTTGCCGAACTTGCGTGCAATATTGCGAACTTGTGAGCGCTCTTTTCCCCTTATTTTATTACAGTTAAGTATCATTCATTTTCACTGACCGACAGAAATTAGTATGTAGCCATCACAACATTTCATATAATTTATTTTACCAACCAACAACTTCTCAACTTAGCGGCACTTTTGAGTAGTGAAATGAGCTACATTCATTTCAATTGTTACCAAATTCTGATTATCACCATTCTTTCTCTGACAACTCAAAACTCGATCAATAGTGCTCGATGTGTGTCCTTTTTGAATTCAGGAGAGAAGATTGACCATGACCTCAGTTTTTGTTTAGACTCTCAATAGGTACCCATGAAAGTTTGTCAGTGACCCAGTAGTGTAGTGTTGCTGCAACCGATCAATGTTAAGTCTATTGAGGCTAGGCACCAGGCTTGGTGATGTAGTGTGTGAGGAACCTTGCTTTATGCGCCATTGCTAAACTTTACAGGGCTTACTATGCTCTCCATTAAGTGATAACGCGTAATTAGAATGACAAGAGAGAGTCGAATGATTTATTATAATTACTAGCTCTTCTCCGACACGTTGTGGTTCGGCTAACGCCTAACTTATTGTATTTGTTGCGTTAGCTGGCACTACGACATTTTTTCCTAAAGATACAGTAGTTATCAGACTATATTGTTACTCTCATCATTTTCTGGAACCCACTCGGCAATTTCTCCGTTTAAATGCGAATTTGCATTATCCAACACACCGATCAGGAAAATGCATGCCCGCTAATTTGCTTAAAATTGCTTGTTTCTCTCTGCTAGAAAACGCAATTCGTTTGGTCACAATTATTTTGCTTAGTTTACCCTGTTTGTTTATTATTCACCTCCCGCGAGGGGCGTTCACCGAATATAACTGACAGTTTCGTGACACGCGAGTCGTACTTATAACAGTTCCTCTCTCCCCACTCTGTGTATGTTCGTACACTCTCATCGCGCCCACATGCATTGCACGCCATCTCTCCTGCAAAACACTTCTCTTGACTGGATTAAATTTTTGCCCAGCGTTGTAGTCATTGAATTGCATTACCTGTATTCAGTTGTGGATTAGATGACCCTGATTGGTATGAGACATCCTCTTACAACTTTACCTTTATTATAGTTGATCTTTCACTGCGATGGAAGTACGACCGCCATTGTAGAATAACACCGCACAATTTTACTCTACCTTCTAATACATTAATTTCAAATCAAATAAGAAAGCTCCGTGACCAAAAAGACTTGGGGACATTATTTCTCGTAAGCGTTTATGCTCACGTAAGATTCTGAAGGAGTAATTGTGCTGAGAATTTATCTTTTATTTGCGATATCACGATGGCCCAGTGGATCCAGCCTTAGCACCTGCCAGTTTAACATCAGAATATTTTCATCTATCCGCATGCCATTTATACCCTATTTAATTGCATCAACACTCTCCAACGGTGCTATGCGTGGCATAATCGACTATTGCATTCATAAACTAACGTAATGCTATAAAATCGGCCATCTAGGCAGTTCAGCTCCCGGGTTGAAATCGAAACCGAGCTATTGAGGGTACGACGATTGATCGCTCTTGGCAGATGACTTTGGAACATCGTTGATTACGAGTTGATTTTGATAAAACGTTTGATCTACGTTGCTTTAACGTTGATTTTTGGAGAGATGATACATGTATCATATTATATAGTGGCCGTTGACGGCATGTATATGCCCAGACGGCTAACAATTTTATCGCGTGGTCTAAGCTACGGAAGTCGCGGGCAGAGCCGACGCTTGCATGGCGTGTGTTGTGGCGGTCTATAACGAACTTCGATGATCCAATGACTGCGTCTGCATAAATGATCCCCTTGCTTCGATTGCTGAAAGAGGGACATGCCTAGGCCGAAGCTATGTGTTTTTCACCCCATTCTATTTTTCTCTGTGATTTGTGATTTGAACCCAATTAGTTTTTAACATGACACTACATATTTGAATCCTATGTTTTGTTTAACTCTTATCCTTATCTATCTATTATGTTCGTTTCCCTCTATTTCATTCCCTCATATATTATCTCTATATTTTTTGCCAGTGTATGCTCAATTTACTTATTGTTCTAATCAAGTCCTCTAATTTACCTACGTTTTCACTTAAATCCTCGTCTGGTTATCACCGTATCAACACTCACCATTTGCATCTCTGGCGTCAGGGTCACCGCAATGTGCCAACGCCAGCGATCATGGCACCCCTTCGGTGCACGTAGCCAGCATCCGCTGGGACGAGATAGGCGTCTATTTCACCATCACCGCCTTCGTCATCTTCGCGGGGCTCGGCAAACTCGGTCAGAACAATTATTTTCATAACATTATTGAGGTTTATAAAACACTGCGATCGAATTATGTGGTTCAAGTTTGTGGCAGGTAAACTGTTAACCTATCGGCGAACTCGGTGAGAATTATTTTGTATTCTATATAACTTATGTAACCGATTTTTACTTAACTACATTAAATTCTGCGATTTAATTTGATAGTGAGTGAGCTTTTTACTAAGAACTAACAAATTTTTCGATTTTTAACTAACAAACTTATACCGTTTTTCCTTGTGTTCCTCAAGCTTAGTTGTCGAGCTGTCAGTATACTTCGAAAGGGATAAAAGAGAGCAAAATACTGAAGAGCGTTGATTTAAGAAGCCATGTAAACGATCGAGTTTGATGACCAAGTAATATCAATGAGTTTATTTGGTTGAGTTTGGTTTCTGTTTGACCTTTGTTGAGTTTGGTCTGTTCTGTTTAGTTTGATGACCAAATGAGTTTTGCGATTTAGTAACCATGTTCACTTTTCATGAGACTATATGTTCGAAGATTGCGCTAGCGTCAACACAGAATTTAGGCGATTACAAACTTTTACTGGCAATTGCCGCTACAATATTACAAATCAAAAGAAAGTACACAGGTCATTTCAGCGATAAATTGCCTAAGATTATGCTTAGAGAATTCAAAAAATTATAATCGATCTGTAAAGAATGAAGAAGATAACACGTGTTTACTTCGGTGGGCAGTGTTCCACAAGATGCACTGGCTGTCCAGTCGGGTGCCGGAGTCGTGTCTGCTCATCGTGCTGGGGGTTCTCATGGGAGGGATAGTTTTCCTCGCAAAGTAAACCTCGTGCTTCCTATTAGCGTATTGTGGAATCATCGTATATTTTTGAACTGATGCCTTATTTGAATGCAGCCTTTACCTACAATCCACTTGAAATTATGAAAAGATAGATTTTTCTTTTTTTTGCCTTGTCTTTTGCTACTTGATTTGGGTTTTAACTTGTGTTGTTTTGAATTTCGATATTACGAATTTCTGATTGTATTTTCTAACTAACGATGGAGCTGGACTCCAAAGCATTTTCTATAACGATGTGAGAATTTTTCTCAGATGTTGCTTCGCTTTTAAGTTTCTAGTGAATTTGTGATTCAAGAAACCGGGTGACATTAATGCTTGTAAACCTTGCTTGCCATTACACCTCTAAGCTCATTCTAAGTTATCGTTACTAGTTTTTGGCTTTTTGTTTTAGTTTTTCATTGTTTTCAGCCTCATTAATGGAAGCTTTTACTTTCATGTATATGTTCAAAAAAATAGGACTTGAATTTCCACTGATTGTATTGTTATCACTTCCACGGATAGGTATTGAGGAAGAGTTGTAATCGTTCTGTTACCCGAGCTTACATTAACTAATCTCATTAAATGATAAACTGCAATAGCTACTTGAATGTCTATATTTTAGCTCTAACTTGTCTGTCATGTGAAGGCTGACTTGGAGTTGCAAATCTCCCCTTTGTACCCAACAGGAGTTCATCCTCAACTCCTTCTTGCCCCAACATCGTCGAGTTCCCCAAGTTCACCAGCGAGGCATTTTTCCTCGTGCTTCTGCCTCCGTGAGTTCAAAATTACTACATTAAGTGAATAAAAATGAACAAGCAGAAGGCATAAACATGTCAGGGGATCAGGCATGAGCAATGCCTGATTTGGCCTATAAATTAAATTGTAGTTTGCGTCAATTGGCTGATTTGGCTCTAATTTTTTTAGTTATTGTAATTCTTATTCCGGCTAAGGCTGTCAATTTCAGGGGACCAGTCACGTACACTAATATGCTCGTATCGTCGGCGTCAATTCGAAGTTAATAGATGTTTATAGCTCTTGGGCTATAACTTAGTTCTACTTTTAGGTAGTTTATAGTCTTGTCAGTAAAATGTAATTTTTTTTACAACTGACAGCTAGGCCATACTATTATCGACCGAATAATTAATAACGAATTAATGTTGACTGCTATATTTCCCTTGCCCTTTTATATTGCACTCAAATTGAAAGCTGGAGTATTTGTAAACGAAGTAGGCGTATCGAGTATTTCCAAGTAATTTATATGACTGCTTTATAATTATAATAATAATAATGTAATTTCTTTATGATTGCACAGCATCATCCTGGAGTCAGCGTACAGCCTCCACGACCGCTCCTTCATAGACAACCTGGGCACCGTGCTTGTCTTTGCCATTTTCGTGAGTACTCAAACTTCAGCTACAACTTAAATTAATAGCCTTAATTTTTGATAATTATTTTAAACAATTCGCTTAAACTTTGAACACTCCTCGTGAGTACTCAAACTTCAGCTACAACTTCAATTACTAGCCCTAATTTTTCATAATTAATTTAAGCAATTCGATTAACATGTAAACACCCCTTTCTTATCATCAATTAAATCCTTGTCAGGATTTTAGAATTGACGTGGTTCCTGTCTTCTTAATATGGTTCAACGAAAAAGCGCTTTACTTGCGCCCGATCAGATGAATCAATTTAGTCCGACATGCTGTTCACGTATATTCATGTAAAAAACGTTTATTAAAACGTCAATTCAATGTTAGATTTATTGTAGCTTAGTTCGACATTCCTGAATTCCAGATGAATTGTGGAAGCAAAAGTCTGCGGCATTTGGCCCTAACATTTGAGTATCTATCTTACTTGCTTTTTCCATGTATTTCCCAAGAGGGTTTGAATCGTCATATGTGATACATTGGATGGTTTTGAATGTGTAAATACTAGGAAATAGATGACTACAGAATTAAATTATTGTTTTTGATCATGTTGCAGCAAAAATGTTTATAGACGGTTGTATAACTAGACGATGAAAAAATGTATGGATTCCAATCATTTCTATTGCAATTTATTGCTTCAATGGGTCCTAGTACCATAGATATAGAAATATCTGAGTAAAAAATTCTATTCCGATTTACTTACATTCTATACACAAGTGCGGAGGAAATCTACATGTAAAACTAGGTCATTGTTTTCATTTTATAAGTGTGTGTGAGGATATGTAGTGCTGTATCTAGTGTATTCTTGCTTTGATCCGCATTATAGGTGCAGCAACTAGCGTGTTTAAAGTAAACTACGACCCCTGTGAAGTTAACATGATTCATTGTTATTTGCAGGGAACTTTATTGAACATCTTCATCATAGGTGAGTTCTACTTCTATTATTTAGTGAATAAATGTAGACCACAGTCTAGATTTAGTGGGCCACAGGGACCATTGTATGAGGTGCTGCTCAGTATACCTTTTCTCGGGCAAAATATATTTCTTTGATAAATATCGAAACTTTTTACACAAGTCGAGGCTAAAAATGAGGCCAATATGAGTGTAACTTCTGCGAGCAACTGCACATTTTTACTTCAGTGAGTAACTGCAATCTGGGCAGTGGGAAACCTCTCTCTTATTCTCAGGGATAGCTGTAATTTAAGTCTAATTTATCTAACACTTGCGTGCACTTAATGCAACAGTGTAGACGCGCCCATCAATAGTTCTATATTGAACACCAATTTTAATTGTAAATTATGTCACATTGTTCTTGTTCCTTCGACCATCAATCATAACAGTGTAATTTATAATAGTAACTCAGTTGATACTGTGTTTCTGAATGAGTCCAAACCTCGAATGGAATGAAGATAAACCGAAACAAAGACCTTGTGAAAAGATGACCACACAAAACTAAACGAAGCTTCGTCGTTTTGTGCGGCTTTCGTAAGACTAGCGCTATCAACTCGCTTGTCGCTGTCGCTGATAGTTCCGTTGTTTCAAAGGCTGCTGCTTCAAAGTTCAAATAGACTCTATAGTTTATGAACCTTTCTCTCGGTTAGTTAACATTCCACTTTGTTGTCAGTTAGTGCCGTATCAAAAGTTTGTATTATTCGCTGTACATAACCGAGGTTTCCAATTCCCTTTGCAGATATTGCAAAAAAAAGGTTGTTATTTCTAAGAAACGACTTTATAATTTTGTTTGCTGTGGTTAAAATGGTCGGAAAAGGTCTTTTAAATTCGAGTAGGAGACTAGCATATTTATACTCGATGCTTTATTAAGATGGTGTCGTTTAAAAACGTGACATTCAAGTGGTTTTTACTTCTTGTTGTGACAACTATTAAAGGTCATGATCTGAGTCTAATGCCAGGCAGGGAGATCAAGGCCATATTCCATTTAATTTCAACGCTCACTGTAATTCTTCAGTCACGTACTTTTTGTACATTATATATATTCAACGAGTATGTTGTTACAAACTATTCACGATATATTCAACGATGCATTGTATTCATCTAGTCAAGTTTTTCAATGTTTTTACGCTTTTGATTTGAAAAAGTTCATGATATATTTCCTTTGTAAATGTAATTTGTTTAATTGTGAGCGAGAATACCTAAGATGTTAATTTTTATTGACAGGACCGTCCCTGTACGGGCTGGCCGTTGGGGGCGCCATGGGCAGTATCAACATCACGTGAGTCTCCAGCATTGTTGTCCCACTTACCAAATTTCTCTATAATATGACTGCATTATTAACTTGAAAACATTACATCATCATTGAAATAAACTCTTTTGATTGCTTTTTAACAATTGTAGTTTACAAAATTTAGGGGCAAATGAACGAACTCAAATGAACTCGTGATTGTCCGATCGTCGATTGATTTCACTGTTCATGAAGGATAGTCTTCTCAAAAACAAATATTCATGAGTTACGGAAATCAAAACCTACTTTTCACTATCGATGAAAGAAAAAGTATATAGATTTCTCGCTTCGTTCTCTAAATGGATAACAGAATTAAATTTTAGTTTATTATCATAACGCAAGGTTGCGGTAAAATCAATCGCTCTTTCTTAGCGTGTGTACGTCTGTTCTTAATCTATCTTTTTGCAGCCGGAGAATCATGTCTAATCCTGCAACAAAGAACAATCAATTGTAGCATATTGCTTCGTCTTGCGTGAAGTACTCATTATGAGGAACTCACACTGAATTTAATATTGGGCGTAGACACGCGTTGTGAGACGTGAACTCGGAAAAATGAGTCGAATTTTGTCTCAAAATCGATGTGCCTTTGCCTTTGTGTGTTTTATCCTGATTAAGTTTGTCTCGTCAAAATGGCGTATTAGTGTGGGTAAGAAAGTGTGTTGTTGTATGAAAAATATGACCCTAGCAAATATCAAAGGTTCAAAATGTGTTGTTGTATGGTCACTATGATCGACCCATTCAAATTTCTGTGTTTTGTCATTAACCTCATGAACGTAATGTCTGCACTGCACTGCAATTGTGTGTGAGGTTCGATGCATTTACCAGCCCTGATTCAAATCCTGTTTGAAATTTGAATACAGACTGACGATGAATGTAATGTGGATGAAAAACTGATGATTTTGCATTTAATAATGGGTGATTGCGCTAAAGGTTGGTTTGTATGAATATTCGAGGTGCCGTTCAACCTAAACTTATTAACTTCTACGCACTGTCTTGAAAAGCCTCTGTTTTCAATAGTTTTGAACCACACAATTAAATCTCGCTATTCGTTCTATGGTATAAACATTGATTTTAACAACTCGTCATTACTATTGATTATTTTACTTCCATTACGACGAGCGAGTTAAGAAAGTATTCAACGCTAACCTGACTATTTAACTTGTTAACTCGACGCTAACTTGACTATTTAACTTCAGGATGACAGAGACGCTGGTGTTCTCGTCGCTGATCAGCGCCGTGGACCCCGTGGCGGTGCTGAGCATCTTCCAGGAGCTCGGCGTCAACAAGGGACTTTACTTCCTCGTCTTCGGCGAGAGTTTGCTCAATGACGGCGTCACGGTCGTCGTGTACAACATGCTTGCTGTCTTCATGGATGTGCGTTCCCGTACACGACCGTGTGACCAAAAATATTGAAGAATCTATACCGCAACAATGTGACCAAAACTCTTGAAGGATCTATAGTTTTCTATACTTTATCAGCTTAATCATATGGTCATGTTAAAAAACAGAGCCGCGCAAGCTCGGATGGGAAACCCAGATGAGCGATTAAGTTTCAAATCTCGATGCTAATATTCATTTTTTGGCACACCAACCTCTGCTTTTGAGCATTTTAATTGAATGATTATTGTTTGTAAGTCATGGATAGAATTTTCGAAATAATATAAAGGAATTCATTACTGTGCTTTAATTTAAAAACGAAGTTGCGTTATGAGACTAAATTACGAATAATATTCTTTTAATCCTTCAGACCCCTCGTGTCGTTTAAATATATCGCTAGCTGCTAGGCAGCTAAGTTATAACTAGCATCCAGTTCATCGGATGTTGGATTAATTTTTTAAATAGACATCATTGCGCTACTAGCATTAATTTTTTGAATGAAAAATGTTTTGGTTTGCGCGGTGCAGATGGACAAAGTGGTGGCGAAGGATTATGTTCTCTCGGTGGTGGCCTTCTTCGTGGTGTCGCTGGGTGGTGCGATCATAGGAGTGCTCTACGGCTTCATCACGGCCCTCGTCACGCGCATCACCACCAACGTTAGAGGTGACCTATCATCACCATAGTAGAGGTGACGTGTCACCACCAACGTTAGAGGCGATGTGTCGGCACCAACGTTAGAGGTGACTCTTCACCATCAACGTTAGAGGTGACCTATCATCACCATAGTTAGAGGTGACTCTTCATCACCATTGTTAGATGTGACGTGTCGGCACTAATGTTAGAATTGATGTGTCAGCATCTACGTTGTATGTGATGCCACCACCACAGGAATCGTGCTTCACCACCGACCTTAAGTAGACTTCCAAACCACATACAACCATAATTACGCATAATGGTTTATCATAAAATCAGGAAAACTATAATTATTATTATGAGAATTAGAGTCAATAATCATCATCTATTCATCCGCCACTTTTAAGTTTTAAACCAGCAATATTAAGTTTTAAACCAGCAAGATTCGTCAACGGAGTATCAAGATGCTATTTTTTAATTGTATGGTTTACTATTGTGGATTATTGCTGCTTGATAATTGTTCATTTTTTTACATTTGGCTTCAATTTTGATTGTAGTGGTGGAGCCCCTGGCGCTGCTGGGCTTCGCTTACCTCGCCTACCTCAGCGCTGAGATGTTCCATTTCTCCGGCATCATCGGGTACGTGCGCTTAGCCACGTGCTACGTGGGGTACGTGTACTTAGCCACGTGCTACGTGGGGTACGTGTACTAGCCACGTGCTACGTGGGGTACGTGTACTTAGCCACGTGCTACGTGGGGTACGTGTGCTTAGCCACATGCTACGTGGGGTACGTGTACTTAGCCACGTGCTACATCTGGTACTTGAAATACGAGTAATTAGCAACGTGCTACGGGTGGTACGTCTGCTTTGCCTTGTGCAACTTGTATTATTTAAAATGTGTTTACTTTTTCTTTTAATTACTTCTAGTGATAAACGTGCTAACGCTACGTATCCTCAAGGTACGTGAAGGACTTTAATTTTTTTCTTGCATTTATATTAATAAGTTAACGCGAAGTTTCTAGGACTTATTTACTGCGGGTTCTTCATTTCTTCCTGATACTTGTTTGCTAGAAAGTCCGTACCTGCAATAAATTTGTGTCTATTTCCCCCGCCCTTGATGAATGGATTCACTCTTAAGTCAGGTTGTGATTATTGTGATGCAATGCATTTGCTTTCCCATCAAAAACTTCCACGGCGTAAGTTNTAAGTCAGGCTCTGATTATTGTGATGCAATGCATTTGCTTTCTCATCAAAAACTTCCACGGCGTAAGTTTCTCGAGCAAGACGACAAAGTTATTGAAGACTTTCTTTGGTCCGCTGCTGACAAAAAATTCAGACTATGGCAGCAATTGTCTCATTTGTTCTTATTGCTGACAGGCTGATAACGTGCGGGCTCGTCCAGGCGCAGTACTCCTTCCAGAACATCTCTGCCAAGTCCTACACTTGCGTCAAGTACTTCACCAAGATGGCCAGGTACTACCACTTCCTTACACTATTTCATGAATTATTTTACTATATCTTCGAGAAATATATAGTAGTAATTATTTATTGTGACTGAAATACAATATTTAATCCTGTATCTCGGTAGTGGATAAATTTGCCAGGTGCTCTCGTATCATTCAACACGCTTTTTCTTCTCACCTGTTAGGCAACTTACGTTGAAATAACGTTTAATAACTATGATTAAACGTTGTTTCAACAAAATGAATAGGTAATCAAATTTTTCTTTAGTCTTGTGCCTGGAGGGTGACATTTGTGTTCAATTTCCTACATACGGCATGCAATGAATGATATTGTAATACTAATTATTAGTAATTGAAATACAACATTTAATGTTTTGTCTGGATAATGCATAAATTATCTGCCTTTGACTTCAGCGATAAGCTTAAGATTAATTGAAGACGTGGTCATTGGTGAGAACACTACTTGTTCCCTGCCACCTGCGTTTCGGTGGGAATGGCTTCAATAAGTTGAGAAATGTCAATTTGGTTTCTTTAATGTTGAGAAATGTTCCTTTCCTTGTTGAGAAATTATCTCTCATACCGTGAGAATTTAGACTATGTTGCTGTTGTGTTATAGTGACGTTGTTACTGTCGTGTTATAGTGACGTTGTTACTGTCATGTCATAGTGACGCTTTTACTATCGTGTTATAGTGACGCTGTTATTGTCGTGCTATAGTGACGCTGTTATTGTCGTGCTATAGTGACGTTGTTGCTGTCGTGTTATAGTGACGTTATCATGTTATAGTGACGCTGTTGCTGTCGGCGATCGTGAACCGCTACCGTATCCGCACCATCGGCATGTCGGAGCAGCTAATCGTGGCGTACGGAGGGCTACGGGGGGCAGTCGCGTTCTCCCTCGTCACGATGTTGAGTGACGAGATGATTCTAAAGCATCAGTTCGAAACCACCACTCTCGTGGTCATCCTCTTCACGGTCTTCGTTCAGGTGATAATTACTCCTGAACCTCGAACCTTGTATGGCAAGCTAGTTCTTGGTGTGAAATTTTCAGATTTACCATCGATTAATCCGTAGCTGCCAGAAGTTTTTGGTTTTGTTTCAAGCGCGTTTTTGTGGTTAAAATGGTTTTTATGTATGTCAAGAATTAGGCGTAGTTCTTAATTGAGTATGAATTCTATTCGGTTTTCTCCAGTGACTTTAATCTGGTACACACCATAGTTTTCAATACAAGTTTGACGAGCGCATAAAAATATTTCTTTGCGAAGCCTTTCAAAAGTCTGGTCACTAAATCAACGCGCAACGGCAAAGTATCACATAAAACTTGTTCAATGACGCACATTTTCCAACACAACATTACTATTCAGGAATTGCATGTTTAAAGTTGGGGAAAATAATGGGCAAGGCATCACATCACCTCGCTTCATTATATATAACATTATTATTATTAGTATTGGACTAAAACTTCTAAAGGTTTTGACTTTCATTGCACCACTGCAGGGCATCACGATGCGTCCGCTGGTGCAGTGGCTCAACGTCAAGAAGCACAGCTCAGACCGGCCGCTGCTCTTCGAGGAGGTCTACGTCAGCGTCGTAGACCACATGATGGCCGGCATCGAGGAGGTCCTCGGCGAACACGGCGACTTCTACATCAGGGTCTGCACTGTACCTGTGGTCTATTGCTTGAGGGTCTGCACTGTACCTGTGGTCTGTTGCTTGAGGGTCTTCATTGTACCTGTAGTCTCTTGCTTGAGGGTCTGCATTGTACCTGTAGTCTCTTGCTTGTGAGTCTATTGTATCTGTAGTCTATCACTTGAGGGTCTGCATTATGTCTTTCCTGGTAAAGCGTCTCATCTTCACGAAATTGCCTGTAGTCTTCTACTTCGTGTCTGACTTCTCATGTTACAACCCCTTTTCTGGGTTTTATCGGTCCATGACAACATGTGTTCAGGTTATTTCAATGCATTTAATGCAACTTCCAGAGTAATGTGCTTTCTTCACCGCGCGACGCAGCGCCTGTACGCTTGTCGGAGCTTCCGCCTGTTACGTGTTTAGTGTGGCCACTCTGGTAGAAATACATACATATGATATCGCAGCGTCGGCCTGCGTACGCGTCAACGCTTTTTTTGTCTGGCCGTAGCCTAATTGTTCTTTGTGCCGTGCAGGTGCAGATGAGGCTTATCAACGAGAAGTACTTGAAGCGGTGGCTGGTGCGTCCGTCATGCGAGGCACCGCTCAAGCGACTCTTTGAGAAGATTGCCATCACGTGAGTCGCTACGTATTATTTCCTGCCGTCTACTTAGTTGATAGGATTTTTGAGTGTGACAGTCCCTCACGTTGTAGGCGCTGCATGCGAATAGACTTGTCTAACTTTTGATGACTTCTAATGACAGGAAATGGGGTTTCAAGTATAAATGTTTTAAATGTTTGCTAACACAGTAAATTTTTCATTATTCCATCATACTTTTAGCCGGTTTCCGCTCACCATTGATCCTGCAAATTGCCTGTCTGCCCTATACACTCTTAGAGTTTTGATAGTTAACAGTTGCTTGTCTTAACTATATCGAGATCTCACGTTGTTCTCAAATAAAATGACCTTTGTGTTAGATTTTACCTTTTGGTATAGGTGTTTGGTGTAGATGCTTGGTATAGATGTTTGGTATAGTTGTTTGCTTTAGATGTTTGATTTAGATGCTTGGTATAAATGTTTTATTTAGATGTTTAGTATAGATCTTTGATTTAGATGTTTGGTATAGATGCTTGATTTTGATGTTTGTTTATCATAGAAAATGTTCCATTTGCTCGTTATTCTGTAGCTGCTTTACGTTCTCCACTGATCCTGATAAGTTTTCAGCCGGCACCTTGTGCTGATTGTATATATAGTCAAGAGTTGCTAATAATTAATCCCGGTAATGAAGTATGTATAACTGTGCGCTGTGCAGAGAGCACTTCGCACACCTGTACGGCCCAGCTGAGCTCATCCAGCAGCACAACATGCAGATGTTCTCCAGCAAAATGAAGCTCGTCGAGAACTCCAGCAACAGAGCTTCCGTGCAAATGTTTGTGCTTATTTTGTACCGACATCTGATTTACATTTATTTTGATTGAGATCGTCATGAATGTGCAAAATTCCTCAAATGTGATTTTGTTTCTAGGGAGCTTATGCACAATAGACTATTTTTCATGCATAAAAAGCGCAATTGATTGCGCATCACAGAAAATTTCTGATCAAATTGATCATTTCGTGCCGTAAACAAAGAAGAACAATTAATGCTGTGTTGTTCACGCGGCTTGATGAGGGTACTCGGGTCCTCAAGCTCTGAGTACTCGGGTCCTCAAGCTCTGAGTACTCGGGTCCTCAAGCTCTGAGTACTCGGGCTCTCAAGCTCTGAGTACTCGGGCCCTCAAGCTCTGAGTACTCGGGCCCTCAAGCTCTGAATACTCGGCCATCAAGCTCTGAGTAATCGGGCTCTCAAGGTCTGAGTACTCGGCCCTCAAGCTCTTAGTACTCGGGTACTCAAGCTCTGAGTACTCGGGCTCTCAAGCTCGGAGTACTCGGGTACTCAAGCTCTGAGGACTCGGATACTCAAGCTCTGAGTAATCGGGCTCTCAAGCTCTGAGTACTCGGGCCCTCAAACTCTGAGTACTCGGACTCTCAAGCTCTGAGTAATCGGGCCCTCAAGCTCTGAGTAATCGGGCCCTCAAGCTCTGAGTACTCAGGTACTCAAGCTCTGAGTACTCGGGCCCTCAAGCTCTGAGTACTCGGGCCCTCAAGCTCTGAGTACTCGGGCCCTCAAGCTCTGAGTACTCGGGCCCTCAAGCTCTGAGTACTCGGGCCCTCAAGCTCTGAGTACTCGGGCCCTCAAGCTCTGAGTACTCGGGCCCTCAAGCTCTGAGTACTCGGGCCCTCAAGCTCTGAGTACTCGGGCCCTCAAGCTCTGAGTACTCGGGCCCTCAAGCTCTGAGTACTCGGGTACTCAAGCTCTGAGTACTCGGGCCCTCAAGCTCTGAGTACTCGGGCCCTCAAGCTCTGAGTACTCGGGCCCTCAAGCTCTAAGTACTCGGGTACTCTGGCTCTGAGTACTCGGGTACTCAAGCTTTAAGCTTGGGTACTCAAGCTTAGCAAGCTTTCTTTGCTAAGTACTCGGGTACTCAAGCTCTGAGTACTCAGGTACTGAAGCTCTGAGTACTCGGGCCCTCAAGCTCTCAGTACTTGGGTACTCTATCTCAAAGAAATAAGCGGAATTTCTCTATCCCTGACAATGAGTTTCATGAGAAGGTTTCTATCATTTATATCACCCGCAGCCTCACGACCGAGGGCCTCGACAGTGACGACGTCGAGTCCTTCAAGCTGCCGCAGCGCGATCACTCGGGGTGAGTTTAGGACGATAATTTAAATTTGCGATAACAATTCCTATTGATATTGCATATTTCATGGATTTATTTCTCATTTACTTGCCTCTTAATCCTTTCGCTTTATTATTTAACAGTATATAGGATTGTTTACTGCCATCCTTATAACGTGGGTGTCTTTACACAGGAAGGTAGTGGTAGTCATAGGAACCAAGTGGAAGTCGCAACTTATTTTACACACTGCTACATTTCCTTGTGTTCTTCTTCATATATTATCTTTTCGTAGCTCTGCAATACATCGCAAGAACTCGTCGGTTAGCGTACTAACGGGCGAGGGAGAGGGCGGCGGCCTGAGGGTAGTTTCCCCTCTCTCCTCCACGGTGGACCTCAGCCCCGGCCGCGTGCAGGAGGACGCCAAACTCCTCAGGAGGGCCATCAGCAGCAACCCCTACAACCAGGTCATCTAGGGAGTATGCTAGGTCATCTAGGAAGTATGCTAGGTCATCTAGGAAGTATGCTAGGTTATCTAGGGAGTATGCTAGGTCATCTAGGGAGTGTGCTAGGTCATCTAGGGAGTATGTTAGGTCATCTAGGGAGAATGCTAGGTCATCTAGGGGTATGCTAGGTCATTTAGGAAGTATGCTAGGTCATCTAGGAAGTATGCTAGGTCATCTAGGGAGTATGCTATGTCATCTAGGGAGTATGCTAGGTCATCTAGGGAGTATGCTAGGTTCATGCTAGGTGGTCTAGAGAGATTCAAAAGTGTGTTGGGTGGTCTAGAATAATCATGTTCTTCAATATACATCGTATCAGTAACTGTACAACCAGTTGTATAGAAAGTATTCTCTGATGGCGGCTTTAAAATCTGTAACGTATAAGTGATCAAAAAAGTCTACCAAAACCTGCAGGATGCAGCTACGAGCTAACAAATATGCCTGACAGTTACACTTATAATAAACTATCGATTACGCGAATTTTACGCTTGAAACCTCCACTTTAGAAAGCAATAATGCATTGCGCCTCGAATCCACCAAGTTTCAACGCAGCGTTTGAACTGTTTCCTTATTTCCATTTGCTGCTCTGTCATCTGATAAGGTAGCGAATTTATGAGTACAAAACTTGTAGCGTTGCGACCAAATCCTCTAATACTGATAATTGGGTCTTTTAATAAATTAATACATTTTATATATATTTTCTCATAATACTTTCCACTATTTCCGTGCTTTGCTCGAGATTTTCATTTTATCCAATTGAAACCAGCCTTGAAACTCATTTCCACTTTCTTTTCTCCTGGCATAGTATCGGCGAGGTAAAGTATACATGTACGGTCGTTTGTATATACACAAACGTTACGTTATCCCATACCGACGTGTACGTTATCCTATACTGACGTGTGCGTAATCCTTTGCCGACGTGTGCGTACTCCTTTACCAACGTGTGCGTTATCAAATAGAACCGTGTACGTTATCCTATACCGACGTGTGCGTTATCCAGTATTACCTTGTGCGTTGTCCTGTGTGTACGTGTACCTTTTATTGTAAGTCGTATTATTGGACTGAGAAAAAAATTCGATTACATGGAATAATTTGTCTCGTCTAATTAGCCGCTTCAAAAATTCCGTTAAGCCATTTGCTGACATTATATTGTCTTGTGATGGGTTCTGTATAGTACCGCCCTCAAATCATCCTCGCATGTCGGGAATCGAACCCTGCATTTAGCTCGGTTTGATATCTCAGTTGCTCCACGAGCCGGTTGTTAAAAATTTTGATTGTTCCAAGGGTTTTTATTAATTATAAGCCACACCGCATAGCTAAAAATCGTCTGGTCTCCAAAATGAAAATCGTTGATATCTCATACTTTGAATCTCAATTATGGTACCTATTTAATAATAATAATAATAATAGCGGTTTCAGCGTTTATTAGGCCATAGCTAGGCCTGTCGCCGATTCTTAACTTCGCAGAACATCCACAGCTTGTTGCAGTCTCGAACTCACGACTCAAAACACAAATTCTGCTGTGCTTAATTAACCAGAAACTGGCGCACAGAGCTGGGATCGAACCCGCGCCTCTCTGCGCTAATCTTGGTACTCTGAACTGTAATTTACTGGGCCACCCTGCCCCTTTAATGAAAAATATGTGGCATAAAGTTGTAATCTCGTTAGTTATGATGTCGGTCGCTATTTCAATCTTTCTTTTATGCCGATTCTGACCAGAAACTGGCGCACAGAGCTGGGATCGAACCCGCGCCTCTCTGCGCTAATCTTGGTACTCTGAACTGTAACCTACTGGGCCACCCTGCCCCTTTAATAAAAAATTTATGGCATAAAGTTGTAATCTCGTTAGTTATGATGTCGGTCGCTATTTCAATCTTTCTTTTAATCGGTGACTCGTTCGCAAACAAGATCTTTCACAACCTTTAATGTGATCTCCTGACTTCTGTAAACCACTCTGTGTAACTGTACAAGAGTCCTTCCCTGTACATCCTTTCCTCTCACGGAAACTCAATGTATACCACCTCTTTCCTTAGTTCATAACATCCCTAGCTGTACAATGAAAACCTTGTACCACATTCCCTGTACATGACGGCCTTCCTTGTAGATGACAGCCTTCCTTCTACACGAAAAACCCCATGTTTTCCTACCACGTTCCCTGTACATGACACGTAGCCCATTGTACGAGTATCATTATAAACCTACTTGTACGTATACCTTATCCCTCTCTTTAGACATGATACATCAAAATACCAGATTTTCGTGAGCTACAAATTCCTTGCCATCTGCGGCTCTTCGAATTTAATCTACCGTTTCGTTTATATTGAATGGTCTAGTTTGGTTGTGATACGAAGTTGATATCATAGCATTTTTTCCAGCTGCCAAATTAGGTAAAAAAAACTCCGTGCTGGTTTGGATTGTACGCAGATTCTTTTATTACATATCAGCTTGAATGTCTTTTAACAATTTCAGTGCGTTTGTAAAGGTTAGGCAAAGTCAAAGATTCTAAAAATAGCTTTCAAAATTTTCCCGCAAGTTTTTTACGGAAAGTTTGTCTAACTTCGTTTCTCCCCGTTTCTTTCGGCACCTCCGATATATTAATCCTGTTAATATCTTGTTAATATGCATTCCGTTTAAAACACCAATTCACTCCATAGAACCTTCTGCAATATCATGTAAAGTTGTACCTGATTTCGAAGATGACCACAAGTACGGTGATGTAGTAGCCTCTCTGTGGGCAGTACACTCGTTTAATTGCATTATAGCCTTTACTTATTAGCAAATCATCCCTGAAACATACATTATCTACACTGCTGGTCAAATGTCAAATTAGTTCACGATAGTTGCCTAATGTGCAAGGAGAAATGTTTCCAGTAATTTTGTTGATTATCACAGCATTACGATTAGACGCAACGAATCTAGCTTAATACCCAGTAGCTGTAGTGTAGTTAAATTCGTGGTGGTAGATATCATCAGTGATACTACGGTACCGGTTTACCAGCACACCAGCATCTTAGCTTCACTGCGAGTTCAATAACTGTCATCTTAAAAATAATTCAGTGACCGCCCAAGCTTCAAAGCACCAGGAGTCACTAAATTCGGCTCTGGATTTGCTTGGCCACACGAGCAAAATCAGCTTCTGGCCGGATCGAATGTCCGTTCCGATTTTATAGTGTCCTGAGAGTACGACAAGATCGAGTCATACAGAGCTTGGAAGGCTTGGAAGTTTCTTAGAGGCTTCAAGCCTGACCTTACGTAGCGGCTGAAGTAAACATAGCCGGTGATTTTTCGACTGTGGTTAACAGGTTTAGTTCAAAAGCAATCTCAACTATTTGTGATAGTACGGCTCCTAACAACTAACCCGGTTTTTTATCCGTACAGCTTCACTATACACACAATCGCAATTTAGTAAACGAAGACAATCAAGAGCTTCATCATCATCTTTTGCGTCGTCAAGCCACAGCGCGACGCATGACGAGACTCGCGTCGATGTCCTTCTCTCGTCGGCCCTCAGCTCTGGACGACGAGTTCCCTCTGCCTCCGTTGAACCCCTCCGCTCCTCCGCCGACCTCATGGTTCTCTCCAGAATACATCAGGCAGTCGTGAGTAATAGATATTTTTTAGAGCTAACTATGTAGACTTTCTACTGCTCGTAAACATCATTTAGTTAGTTATTCAAAATGCATCAGGTAATCGTGAGTTGTTCATTTAGAATAAACATGCATAAGAAAATATCTCTAAATATAACTGGCTTACTGACATCTATAGGTACATGTCAAAGTTTCGGAACCATTAATCTAATACCTGACATCTGCCCCAGCAGGAGTCTGGTGCCCTCGATCAGTCAGGGCGTGTCCAGCAGTCGCAATTCTCTCGCCCCGGAAGACAGCGCACCGCTGCGTCGTCACGAGCTGCACAAGAGCAAGTCGTGAGTCTTTTCTTTTGGTTCTTGTTCGTTTAACATATAATCTTCGGATATATTTACCGTCGACAATGATATTCCAACCTAAATAAAGGGTAATGAGAGTTATTTGCAGTAGACCATGAGTTAAAGTTATTTTGACTGTGAGGTAGTTTAACAGCTTCACTTTCTACTGACTTGAAGATGGCTTATAATATTGATTTTCTTCTGCTATCGGAAATTTTCTAGTGCATCTCTAATATCACTTCTTTAATGCTTACATTGTACTTGGAAAATCTACGTACTCATTTTTGCTATTTTCATATAGCTATGTTTAGAACAAGTATACGTATACTTATGTACTTATTCTGTATTGAAGCTTGGTCGATCGTTTTCCTATTCGATCTTTACAAGGCTTTATAAGTTTTACATGTTAAGTTATGTTGGCTCGTAGTTGATCTGGTGAACTCGTGTTAGCACCCTGAGCGTGAAGACTTAATTTTTTAATAGAATAGTCATCTGTGCTTGGAATAGTTGAAAATTCTAATAATAACATTCATATATTATCTAATTATTTTACTCGTAATCGTGCTGACATTTAACGCTTTTTCTTGTTCTTGTTTCCTTACCACCTGTCCCGTAGTCTCCTTTTTCACAAGTCATATCTATTATTTGTGCCTCTGCCTATCCTACATCTGCATCCCATACCTCCCCTTCCTCCCCACGACAGCTCCAAGAGCCGTCATCATCGTCATCAGAAAGCCCCTCCCACATCCCGCATAACCTCGCTGCCTGGGGAGATGAATCCTCTTACTGAAGGTGAGTTTATTCAACGCTGCTTCTGTCGAGCCAGCTTCAGCGGGCTGGACAATTGAGACCTTCCGCCCCTTGTGGGTGATGAATAATTGAGACTTTCCACCTCTATGGTGATGTTCATCTTGACTTTCGGTGCAAGATAGCTAAATAGCTGAAGCGCTAGTAAACATTTGGCCACTAAACTAACTAACTAACTCATGTGCAAGGCCATAATCTGTTCTAAGCTGAAGGCTTCAGCTTTCATTTGCCCTTACGACTGTTAGTTGCTCTGTCACATTTATTCATGTTTATAACAAAGAATTTATAAAAATATTGTTCGACTCCTTGAAAATTATAATGCATTCTCTGGTCATTAATTGTACGCATATAAACAAGAAAGTTCAGCCATCTTATAATAGTTAATTATTACAAAGTAAACACTTGAGTTTCCATGATACCACCTCACTGTTGTTCCTAAATGAGAATCTATTGAAAAAAATTGATCTGGTTTCTCGTTTTATGGTCAAGGAATGAAACATTTTAATGCTCAGTCAGATAAATATGCTGGAAACGCGTATATTGATGTAATTCAAACATGTATTTCTGACGGGTAGAAGTCGCCCCTGGTATCTGACTGAGCCTTCACTAAATTTAGAGCGTTAGTTTTTGCCCTAATGCACTAACAAGATCAGATGATCCCGGATTTATCAATAGGAAAATTACATTAATTGCCAATTATTCAATTATGTGGTAGATTAACGTTCTGGTGAGTGTGCACATGATAAGCGTCTTACTACAGCCGTGAGGATTTCACGTCGTCTTTAAAAATGCACCACCACGGGAAAATAGTGTTACAGTTTTTCTTTGAGTTAATATAGCCATACTACTGCTGTAAAAGTGAGAGTCAAACGTTCTATGTGAAATTGTGGGATCTTTTGCGTTGATCTGCAATCCTTTGAAAAATGTACGGGTATATCAATTTTTTTAATGACTGCTTACAGTGAAGCTAACAAGATTATATTATTCTGTTAGGATCACGAGCAGCTACAGTTGGGTTTGTCAATATTCTAGATGTGAATTGCAGTTTGTATCCCGACAGTTAAAACTCCATTACTGTTAACACAACAAACATTCAGGGTGTAGAAGTTAAACGTTTCTTTCATCCAACTTTTCTGTGCATATGCCTATATTTTATTACGTATTTTTATTGCTTCTACTTCCATGCTTGCCTCAGGAAATGATGAGGTAAGGCGAACTTCCACGATATTTTTATCCTTCCCTGGGGTTCCTACAATTAGAAGAATAATGTACTTTGAATGTGCCTGCGTAAAACTCGATATTCTGAATTTGTGTTGCGACTTTGAAGCGGAACGCAAAGCCGTCAATATTTACTTGGTCTCACTTTGATATTTATTCATAAATTTTGACACACTTTGCTATTTTCATTACCATTTTTTTGTATACGATATCAGTCCAAGTGATATATTTTTTTTACAATTCTCGTCAATTTTTAACAACCTATATGCATGTATACTGAAGCGTTAGAAAACTTGTTGCTACTAAGCTAAACTAAACTTTCTAATTTATTTTGTCTTGCCTTTCAATGCATTGTGAGGAAATGTAAGAAAATGAATGAGTTACTTTAGGTCAATTTTGGTTTGACATCAGTTGCTATTTCAAGCTTGAAAATGGGTTGTTATTCACAGAACAAGGTTTACTATATTACTTATCTGATGAAACTGCAATAAGAAGTTAACGAATTGAAAATCAGGATGAGAATCGAGTTTATGTACACGGCTCTGGCTCGGGGTTTAGGATCTCGGAAATAAGTACTGTTGGCTGCGTGACTTGCGCGGCATTTTGCTTCGCCTCGTTTGCAATATTCGCGAATAAACGTGATTAATAAAATACTTGGAAATCATATCAAACCCCCTGAAAATTGATTTGAAAATCGAGTACTTTTTCCTGCATCTAGACTTGCAAAATTGTTTATTACAATCGTTAAGTACGACCTCAATGTAAACTCAAGACGAAATTTTGTGGCTGTGAACCAGAGAATGAAGAAATTTTTTATTAATTCATCAGGAATGCATGAATTATGAAGACGAGGTTTATAACTTATAGTTTCATTACGCAACAAGATGATCACTAATGTCATTATTATTAACCACTGACAAGCGTTTTTGCCTGCAGACGAAATAGCGACCATACCAGGCAGTGACGAGGTGGTGGAGCTTCTACAGAGGACGAGTGCCCTTATAGAGCACGCGCGCCGTCGCTCTGTCTGGCGCCGCGCCATGCTCAGAAATCGCCTCGAAAAAGGCGCGTCGCAAGGTGATGCCTCCGCCAGGAACTCCCGTTACTATGACGCTCGATCAAATCCTTCTGAAGAGGAACACAGCAGGTCTGGTGAAGGGCAAAGCGGACCAAACCACAGTGGTGATGGACCCGAAGCTGCTCAAGGATACATAGCCATCGGGATGCACTCTGAGGATTCGGGGGGAAAGATGACTGGATCTTTGGACCCGTGTAATGAGAAACTTGCAGATCCACTGATGGACCCTCCTCCTGGGCTTCCGAGCGGCGAAACATTTCCTTTGAGGACTTTGGAGTCTCGTCAGCCATCGGATGACGATCCTCTTCTGCCTGATGTAGAGGACCTGGATGCGGAGAAATGCTGATCACTTCACTCGGTTTAGCTAGAAATGTTATCCTGTTTTTTATTCACGTTCTAAGGTAATGTAAATATTTTACGCCGCAACATTACTTTAAATAAATGTGGGCGGCAGCATGAAATCGATGCTGTGAGACCCAGTGATCCTGTTCTTTTGTATTAAAGCGTAAACTTATTCAAGGTACTGGAATGTCATCGGGATTTACGACTCTTCCATTTAGAGACGATTGGCCGATTTAAGGGCCTTGATAAAGAGGAAAAGTTTTTTAAAGACGATTCACCATGTGCGGACATTTTATACAGTTTTTATGACATTTTAAGTTTTTCGCTGTTCTTAATATCTCCCAAAGGTAACCTTGTGTAATCAATGGTTACCAAGTTATGCCAAATATTGCATAAATATCAATCTTGAAAGCTTGCTTGCTGGAAAGCTAAACATACGACATTGAAGAGTCGAGGAAAATTTTTGTTGCATCATTACTAAGCAGTTGCCGAAACTTGAAAACTTTTTGCACGCTATTTTTCTAATGCTTGGCTTAGTTGTAGTTAAGTAGAATTATTTCATTCCAGTAGCTCACACTCACCTCAAGTTTTGAAATTCCTTAATTATTTCCTTCTTAATCACTTTTTGCTCGCAAGAAATCGCATAACGCAACTGAAACTTTTTGCTGACGCAACGAACGTTGACGCAAGAATTTACGTCAACCTCGCCTCGTAGTAGAGAAGGCTAGTTTAAACTTGCATGCGTGTACTTTGATGACCACGAAGGTGCGCGTCTGGTACACGACGACGAGGTTTACAAAAAATTCATTCTACGAGGATTTATTCGGAAAAACATTGCAAACGTGGAATTAAATATTTAATGCATTGATTGAAATTATCTGATACACTATTTTCTGCAGAAGTTCATTTAGTTCATTCAGTTCAGTTCATCAATGTTCGATGTCAATGCATCATGTTTTATCTACATTTGAAAACCAAAAAGGCGGTTGTGTGTCATGCCCAAGTATTTTGACTACAACGTTCCGCAGGTCTCTTTATTTCTTACTTAATTGAGTCAATGCTCGTGAGCCTCGATTTTTAATTTAAGAATGGGTGCGATTTAAGATTTTTTATACCCCTCTTCTAGGAGTTATAGCTGACGTTGTTTATTCGTGTCCAGTGAGTGTAATATTGTTCTTTTTTGTTGTATTTTGAATTTTGTTCTTTCTCATCCATGTCGTTCTCTCCGACAGCGCTGGATAATGGCTGCTCAGAAATTAGTGTTCCTAAGTTCCAATTTATATTCGACGATTGTTTACTCATGGCTCACGCAGCATTGCTAACTCATGGTCGCTGGCTAATAAAAAATACTCAAGTACGGTCCAAACAACGCTACTATTATAGACAAAACGTAAATTTCCCATTGGCAACCTTCAGTATCAAAGCGTAGTTTATATGACGTTAAACGTAAAAAGAAACTGTAAGACCCTGCAAATTTCGTGACTCAGATTCTTCTTGAGATTTGTTAAATAGCGTCAAAGAAATTAATTCATTCTGAATCAGTTTGGAAAATGGAACTGTATATGTTTTCATTGGTTGTTAATATGATAGCATCGTTAGAGCTGTGATGGAATTCATGGTTCAATATTATCCTGTATGAACAAAATGAATTTTGTTTAGTCTGATGTTTGTAAAGTCAATGGTTGAGAGAATAAATGATCTATTTTTCAATTCATCGCTTGTTTAATTCATCATCATAGAAGATTTTCTACGGCTGTTATTTTAAACTTTTAATTTATGGTTGATTAGGAAACTTGGATTACTTCCGGCGATTTATTGACTGACCGAAGGATTTTTGAAGGACTTTTCACATTGTGCTTGGCTTTTGTTTCAATATTTGTTATTCTAATAATTTGTTGCTTTTCAACTGATTGATGTAATGCTGATAGTCAATCTCCGCCGTTCTGTGTACATATAATGCATGGTTGAACTAGTACAAGGTTGACCCACGAGAAGCTTAATTTTGCGGATGTAGTTCGTTGTTCGCCTGTGACGTCACTGATCTCAGTGACGTCACGGGCATTAACCAATCACCGAAATGCGATCAAACCAGTCAACCTCATTGTTCGGTTAACGTGGAAATTTTTCGTAGAAAATGTTTGCAGGTGCACAAAATCATCTCTAATGCTTCATTGCAGGGACATAAACATTTACCTACATACCCGGTAATACAATATGATATAATACAAATAATAAATTTTTCTTTGCTTCGATTAGTATATACTATTGCCGATATTATCCCTTAAATTTTCACTCAGTTGGGGTGTGCTCTCTTTATTATATTAACAATAGCAGACCAATAATGAACAATAGCAGAATGCCGAACGAGCTGAATAGCGAATAATTGATCGTATGTGTATGTCGAATAATTAATCGTGTGCATGTGGCGAATAGACGATCGCTCACACGTGGCGAATAAATGATCGCTCACCCGTGGTGAATAATTAATCGTATATGTATGGCGAATAACTAATCGCGTGCATGTGGCGAATAAACGATCGGTTGCATGTGGCGAACAAGTGATCGCTCACACGTGGCGAATAAGTGATCGCTTACTCGTGACGAATAATTAATCGTATGTGTATGGCGAATAATTAATCGTGTACATGTGGCGAATAAGTGATCGGTCATACGTGGCGAATAAGGGATCGCTTGCCCGTGACGAATAATTAATCGTATGTGTATGGCGAATAATTAATCGTGTGCATGTGGCGAATA